GTTAATATCTGTTAGAACCCTGGAAGCAACCTGAGTGTGTGTGTGCACATGCGCTTGTGTGTGCACACACACACACACTCTCACATACATACTTACCCACTTTCTCCTCTGCCTCTTCCTCTGCCAGGCATACCTACTACCCTTCGTTTCTAGGTTTCCCGGTCTATGGTTTCCAGTCTAGGGAAAGGTAGACAGAGTATGTTGTATGTCTAGAGTATTTTAGGATGTTAGAGCACACACAAAACAAGTGCTTGTGTGTACACCTGCACACACATGTAAGCCTGCTTCATCTAATTTTTCCCACTTAGAGGGGAGCTTCTGGACTTGATCACTGGTCTTGTCCATCTTGAATGCAATAGCAGATGTTGAGCGGATACTCACTGGTCACTCAGCATTTATTAAGTCCTGTCCATTCCTGCCTTCTGGAGATGAATGCCCTGGGGTGACTGTTTGGCTGCCCCTGACAGACTGGGTCACTTTATCTATTCACATTGATTATGAAAGTCAGCTGTGGACAGACCTTGTTTTTTTTTTTTTTTTCCACCCCTCTTCTCTTAGCCTTTCTTACAAGCACCCCTGCCTGGATTTTCATGAGGAAATAATCAGATTAGGCCTTTCACGGTGAGTTCATATGGAGTTCTCTTTCTCCAGTGTGCTACTAACCGAATAAACGTGTTTAGTGGTAAATTGTAAATGACATTATGATTACCAAAGCCAGCATGGGTTTCATTTAAAAGTGATCAGAATTGCAGACCACAAAAATTGTGACTGGCAGATAAGGCCATTTGGAGAAGTGGGAAAAGAACAGACAAAAACAAGTGAGAAAGAGAATCATCACTCAAAATGAAATCCTTCCCCAATGGAAAGAGGCAGGAGAGAGAAACCCAGGGAAAGAAAAGATGGAATGCTATTTAGAAAGGGGGCTGGACTTGTCCCTGTGGGTGCTGCAGGCTGTGTCTGGGAGAGGGGATGTGACTGCATCTGGCTGTATGCATGCTCTTCTCCGAAGGGGTTCATGTCAATTCTCTCCCACAGTGAAGTTAGTGGGAATGTGCTCTATAGCACGGGGAGCTCAGCTTGGTGCTCTGTGATAACGTAGAGGGGTGGGACAGGGGAGATGGGAGGGAGGGGCTGTATGTATACTTATAGCCAATTCACTCTTCATTATATAGCAGAAACAAATACAACACTGTAAAGAAATTGCATCATACTCCATTTTAATAAAAAGACTTACGTCCACTTAGCAGCTTTGGAACCCTAGAGCTTTCCTGTGCTTGAATTTTACCTCACCTCAAAAATAAAATACTGGAATTGATTAATTCTGAAGATGAGATAGGAAAATGGATGGTGAGCTACCGATAAACCACCATCTTTTAGTCATTGGTAAGTTTTGGAGAAATAAAAATGAAATTTCTCATTTATGAACACCAAGATTCCAAGTTTGGCTATAAAACTAAAAATTACTTGCCAGAAATCTTTAAGCTGTTGCCTTTGTTGAATTTGTGGCTCTATGTTTATACTTGAGGGATGCTAAAATTTTTTAAAGGTCAAGTGGTTAATACGAAAAAAGCAAATGGAATCTCAACAAATGCATGATTTGACAAATAACCAAAAACCCCTCTGTCAATAGACTGTGTAAAGAGAACCAAAAACCAAAAATCTTTCTGTCAATGGACTGTGTAAAGAGAACTCCTTGCCACACAATATGCCTCCTAAAGGGTTAATCACCCCAGCTGACACCACATCTAAATACAATCCCCAAATGAATGATTTGGATTCCATTCTATTTTGCCAAAAGCATAGGTAGAAGTTTAAAGATGTTCTTCTTCTTGTGACTGTTACTAAGTAATTGTGTGAATCATAATTTCTGTGGTCAGTTTTACTGTCTATAAACTATGAATAATTAAACTTGCCATTAAGTTTTAGGTAAAAGTGGTTAGGAAAAGAAGAATGGAAGAAAATAAGGGATGGAGGGAGGAAAGAAAGAAAGAAGGATCACCAGCCTTATAGCTTAGAGGTATCTTTGTAGTGCCAATTCTACCATTTGGCATTTTAATCCCTGTTTGATTCTGTCCCCCTTCCAGGTACCATTCCTATGAGTCTGTGGACTTCCTGTCAGATATTTCTTTATCTGAAACTCTCCCAAGGAAACATTATAAATTATTTGCAACAACCATGGAAAAACCACCATCTAAAACCTGTTGAATCAATTAATCAGAGTCTCCCGTTGACAAAACTGTATGCAAACCTTCAGGACCCCTCTGATAGTTTCCATGCCACTGTATATATTCCATGCCAGAGAATAAAGATACGATGTGTTTTCCTTAAGATTCCTGCCTACCCCTGTCATTATCCCCGGTCTACCACTATGTACTACCTTCTGGAGACGTCTCCACAACGTCTTCCCTGATTCATTTATAGGCTTATCCAAGCTTTTACGCCCTTGCTCCACTTGTTTAATGAATTAATGAACAAGCTGAGAAAAAAAAATGCTTTGTCATAACAGAAATTATTTTGTGGACAAATTATTTACCTGATTCCAGAACAGAAGATTCTTATAATCGACTATAATTCCACTCTTATGGTTTCATGTGAAATAATTGGATCTCTCATGACATTGAGCTATCAAATATTGACATTAATTCAAGGGACAATTCTCTCAATACACTTTTGTGGTATGTTCTGTTATTGTGATGAGTTGGTTTAAATTGTATTCAAGTTACAGAATAATAACCTTATAACTAGACACCTGGAAAGAATAGATAAATTATTTGAAGAATAAGAGTTTTGAAAAGGACATTATGTATCAATCAACTAATACACATTAATGAGTTTCTACTGTGTTTGATGTAGGATGTTAAGTAAGCCCTATGATAATTAAAATATGAGATAACAGTCTTAGGCCTTGAGAAATGACCTCTTAAGAACATTGGTTCCTAGTGTTTATGTAATTTATCAAAGTACATATAATTAGTAGCAGAGAATGATTGAAAATCATATCTGCTAAATCAATTTAGCAATATACAGAGGTCACCTTAAAATACCTTGTAAATGCTGGATGAGAAGAAGAAAGAAAAAAGAGATCTGTGAAGCTTGATAGAATGTGAACAATTCATCAATGGCATCAGCATGGCTGAAAAAAATGTTTAAAAAGAAGGAAAGTAAGCAGTAGGTTTAGAAAAGAGGAACTGGAGTGATTCAAGGATCTTCTGTGAGGGAAGACTACCAAACTATCTCATTTGAAAAGGGGATAACAGTAGTAGAGATTGGTGTATCATAGTCTCAAAAAAGAACTTCCTCATGATTATTAAGGTCATGAAGTTAATTTTCTTAATACTTTTTCCATGTTTTTTTTTCATTTGTTTTTCATTTATTTTTATTAGTTGGAGGCTAATCGCTTTACAATATTGTAGTGATTTTTGCCATATATTGACATGAATCAGCCATGGATTTACATGTGTTCACCATTCCAATCTCCCCTTCCTGCCTCCCTCCCCATCCCATCCCTCTGGGTCTTCCCAGTGCACCAGCCCTAAGCGCTTGTCTCATGCATCCAACCTGGGCTGGTGATCTGTTTCACCCTTGATAGTATACTTGTTTCAATGCTATTCTCTCAGAACATCCCACCCTCGCCTTCTCCCAAGAGTCCAAAAGTCTGTTCTGTACATCTGTGTCTCTTCTATTTTGCATATAGGGTTATCGTTACTATCTTTTTAAATTCCATATATATGTGTTAGTATACTGTATTGGTCTTTATCTTTCTGGCTTACTTCACTCTATTTAGGCTGTTTAGATGAACATGCAGTAGGGCAAGTTAAAACATGTAGGAAATAATACAAGACAATTTTGTGACTATTAAGTTGAAGTCAGAGGAACTCTTTGTTAGAAGATAAAATATACTTTTGAATTCAGAACAAAACAAATTCTAGGTTCATAGAAATATTAAGAGTGGTCAGAATAGTGAATTTGTTTCTTCAAATGCCTTCATTACGTGCAATCATACTCGAGTTGTGCTCTGCTAAGTCGCTCAGTTGTGTCTGACTCTCCGTGACCCTATGGACTATAACCCACCAGGCTCCTCTGTCCATGGAATTCTCCAGGCAAGAATAGTGGAATGGATTGCCATACCCTCCTCCAGGGGATCTTCCCAGCCCAGGGATTGAAGCCAGATATCCCGCATTGCAGTGGATTCATTACCCTCTGCGCCACCAGGGAGTTGAGCTCTATTTAATGTCGACACTCCCAAATTACTACTTTCTTCTTTTCCTCCTTTTGTATTTCTTTTTTCTTCATGTTTAGAGAAAAAAAGAGTTTGATAAAATTATATAGTCTTACATCCAAACTCTTTCACAATCTGGTCACAATATACCTTTGCAATTTTAATATACTTCTGTAAAATTTCTGTCCCAGCCGCCTCAGTCTATCTATCTCTTTCCCATTGACTCAAATACTATCACCTCCTTCTCGTCTATTGTTTTTCCATTATTGGAGGCCTTAGTGATTATTCCTTTTTCTTAATTACTTTACTTTTACCATTTAGCTATTACATACATTATTAACTTTAAATAACATTTTATGTAACATATGCATTTGAATTATATAGCATGCTGCTTGATCAGTCATGTCCAACTCTTTGTGGCCCCATGCACTCTTTAGCCTGCCAGACTCCTCTATCCATGGGATTCTCCAGGCAGGAGTACTGAAGTGGGTTGCCATTTCCTCCTCCAGGGGATCTTCCAGACCCAGGTTTTGAACCTGCATCTCCTGTGTCTCCTGCATTGCAGGAGGATTCTTTACCCACTAAGCCATAGGACCTGTTATTTAATATATGTATCTTTCCATGTTTTTCCCAAGACTTTGTTGCATTCTCAGTATCTAGTACACTTGAATATTCAGTAAATGTTTCCTGAGGTTACAGGTGATGGTGAGCATGATGGATCGGAAATCATCTTTGAGAGACTGTAGTTCTTAAGTCACTTTTTTCCCCCTTTATTTTATAGGCACATTTAGAGAAGAGCAGAAATGCACCTACCGACCCCTGATAAATGGCTACATCTGCAAACAGACTGATCAAGTGATCTTAATTCTTGACAGTGCTGATACCACTTGGGCAATGCAGAAGTTATATCCAGTTGTATCTGTGACTAGCGGTTTTGTTGACACCTTTAGTAGCATAAATGCCAGTGCTCCCTGCTCCATTTCAAGGTCTGTATCTGCTTTCTATTCCATTGTGCCCACCAGGAAAATCACCAAGATCTGCTTTGTGGATCAGACTCCTCATGTTTTGCATTTTTTTCTATTGGGGAACAATACCTCTAAGCTCCTCTTGGCTGTATTCTACCATGAACTCCAGCGCCCATATGTTTTCTTAAGAGACAGATTCATTCCACCTACTCAAGTTCATTCAACTTCCTCACTGTTGAATGAGTCTGTTGGCACCAACTATTTCAGCATCACAGATAACCTCTTGTATGTTGTCCTACAAGGAGAGGAGCCCATTGAAATACAGTCAAGTGTTTCCATTCATTTGGCCCTCAGTGTGATGTTTTCAGTTCTAGAAAAAGGCTGGGAAATCATGATCCTTGAAAGACTAACTGTCTTCTTGCAGATTAGCCAAGATCAAATCAGATTTATTCATCAGATGCCTGGAAACGAAGCAACCTTAAAGGCCATGGCTGATATTAGAGCAAAGAGAAAGCGCACATGCCCAACTGTGACTTGTACCAGTCGGGACCGAGTGGGTCAACGTAGACCTCTCATGGTAGAAATGAGCTCATATAGAGACCTACCCCCCACCACTATGGAAACTATCTCAAAAGTGATGGTCATTGAAATTGGTGATCTGCCAACAGTAAGGAACACTGGACTGATTCCATCTTTATCAAGTAACAGATTACAGAATTTGGCTCACCAGGTTATCATTGCTCAACAGACTGGATTACTAGAAAATGTCCTCAATATGACTATTGGGGCCTTACTGGTGACTCAGTCAAAGGGAGTCATCGGCTATGGGTAAGTACTAATTATAACAACATCTAAATGTGAGCTGATTTCTTTGATACATATTGCAAATGTCAGTCTATTTACATGGAATTACATAAACTGTCTGCTTTTTAAGATAAGAATAAAATGCCAAGAGCTGTTTATAGACTTAAATTCTCAATTTTAAAATTCGTGATTAAACCTAGAGTCTTTGTAGTTATTCTATTTCCTAGGTAAGTGTGGATGTTATATTAATATTTTTGTACTTTAAATTTTAAGCATAGACAGAGTTTTTCTAAGGCAACTTGTTTTCAACTTGTTTATTCATTCATTTATCATGTGATACATTTTAGCAGTGGCAAGATTCTGGGGTTGCTAAAGTGAAACAGATATGATCTTTGCCTTATAGGACAAAAACACTATCACAGTTCCATACAGCCATGAGTTAAAACCCGTGAGTACCCATGGGGTTGATAAATATCCTGCCTGCAGGGACTGAGGAATGGACTTACATTTAGGAACATTTTGGAAAGATAACTAGGAGTTTACTAAGTTAGAACAGTGATTCTGTTTTGGGTTTTACTCAACCTAGGATTATAAAGGGCTTCCCTGGTGGTTCAGCTGGTAAAGAATCTGCCTGTAATGCGGGAGACCTGGATTCAATCCCTGGGTTGGGAAGATCCCCTGGAGAAGAGAAAGGCTACCCACTCCAGTATTCTGGCCTGGAGAAGTCCATTGACTGTATAGTCCGTGGGGTTGCAAAGAATTGGACATTACTGAGCGACTTTCACTTATTTGGGCTTCCCTTGTGGCTCAGCTGGTAAAGAATCTGCCTGCAGTGTGGGAGACCTGGTTCCGATTCTTGGGTTAGGAAGATCTGCTCAAGAAGGGAAAGGCTACCCATTCCAGTATTTTGGCCTAGAGAATTCCATGGACTGTATAGTCTGTGGGGTCACAAAGAGTTGGACACGACTGAGTGATTTTCACTTCACAGGATTATAAATCCCTGCAAAGATGTCAAATTGTGTGAGGCAAGATCATAATCGCTGCCAGCTATGTTTATGGCACAGATCTGTGTAAGATCTGTAATGTCCTTTTTGCTATGTTTTTCTGACTCTATAAGCTTGTATTTTGAAGGTCTTTACCAGATCGGTGTTGACTACATATTTCAGAAGTAAATCGACCTCAACATTTCCCTGAGCTAGTAAATGAAGAAGTACATGAAGTACACAAGAAGAGAAGGTAGATATAAATTACTCTCAAATTTATAGTCGTGATACCCAAGAGATGAATTGTCCAGTCCTAGTTTACCTGAGACATCTGTCACGAGGTCAAGACGATTAGAGTCCCAAACTCCATTTTTAGCAGATACAAAAGGACCAGAGATGATACCGCAGACTGAGAGACAATATGAAATTGTCGTAATGCTTGGGAAATAGATATAAACTAACCATCTCACACATGCATGCTGTGAGGTTATAGAGTACTCAAGAGAGTCAACCTTATAGATTCCCTGCAAGTTTGCTACCACCACTGAAAAAATAAGCTCAAACTCATGCACATGTTGAGTTGATACGATTGATATTGGGTCCCTGAAATAGATATGATTATTCTGAACTATATAACTCAATGAAATTTTAAAGCATTCATATTCTTTTATTAAAAGATTTTTCTATTGGTGCTTTTTCACTACTTTTGTGGTAGTTATGATAAATAAATAATTAGTATTTAATGGATATTAATTGCTTTTGTACAGCTGTCTTCAGTAGATGTGGGATTCTTTATAAACTAAAAAGCAAAACAAAAAGATACACCTTCACATTTTAAGGAGTATTCAAGAAATACATTGACTGCCTTTTTATACACAAAGCAATATAAATGAATGACAAATTAACTAGTGTTTTTGTATCATATTTTACCTATATTTGGTGTTCCTCTTTCTTATATGGAAGAAATTATAAGAAAACTCAAGCAATTTTATTTTTGGATTCTGGTTGATTTGAAGGGCTTTGGAAATTGCTAGCTTAGAATTAAAAAGTACTCCTGGTTGCATAATTGCTCAAAAGCTATTAAATATTGGATATTTTATCAATCACCAATCCTTCATCTTGTTGTTGACATAATCATATTATGCATGATGATATAAAAATCAGGAATCTGCATGTCAATGTATGACAAAAACCACTACAATATTGTAAAGTAATTAGCCTCCAACTAATAAAAATAAATGGAAAAAAAATCAGGAATCTGAAAAAAGTGATGCTACTCTATCTTAGCTTATCTTTGAATATATCCTCTTTAGCCCAATTTCATTTAGATCCCACTGAGTTCTTATGAGCATATTCTATGGATGGGTGACTAAGAAGTCCTAGGACCAGGTCACTGCTAAATTTTATTTAGATTTTATGGTACTGAGCTTTCAATAGGTCATCCTTCCAAAATGACTGATTTGTATATTATATAAAAAAAAAACAGTAAATATTTAGCTTTTAACTAGAAAGAGAGTAAAGTCAAAGAATAGAAACAATAGTGGTAAAGCAGAGGAAACCCAGGAAAGAGTGTGGATCCAGCCCAAGTGCAGGTAGCGTACATATGTGTGAGGGAACATCATTGCATCATAAGCTTCAGAGAACAGATCACTTTTATTGCCCAGCATCCATCAGAATCATCATGCTTTCACATTTGACTCAGATATTTCTGATTTAATAAGAAACTACTGAACATGTATTTTATAACATCAGTTTTCTGTTGGTTGTGTTATATTCCCCATCTCTCTCAGTTTCTTTAGTATTTTAAGAGACGTTTCTAAGACATAAAGCAAAATAAAAATTTTCTGAAGCTAAGGAAAGGCTGCTTCTGAAGTGTATCTGAATAAATTGCTGCAGAATAAGAAATGCCACGTCCTAAGGGATTTAATGAGAACTAGCAAGTTTTCCCATGGTCCTAAGAATTGCACAGTATGGTAAACAACCCTGAAGCCTTGTGCAGGTCCCAGGGCCAGCCCTGTTTCTTTCAGCTTTGATCAGTGTCAACTGGGACTTCCACTGAACTCACTGGAAAGTCATTGACAAGCTAGTGACTTGACCTTGAGATTGCAGAAATTAGTCTGAGGACATAGACCTTTCAGTGGAAACATTTAGGATGTTCTTGAAAGATTCACTCTTGTTAATTTAATGGGGTGGCATGTATTTCAACAAATTGAGGGCATATCAAACATTTACTTACCAAGAGAAGTACTACCCGCTTTCAAAAAGCTATCAACTTCTGCCTTGTGGGGAGAAATGGAGTGCTATTTTTTAATTAAATAATACACAGTGAATTGGCCTCTCCTGATCTTTATCCTCCTCTAGAGGCATCTAGATATAAGTGTCTTCCACATGGCTAAGTCAGTTCCATGAGCCTGTTTTCCATCTTCCAAACTTTGTTAACCTTTATTGTTGGTTGCTCTCTCCTCTCCTGCCTTCTTCATCCTTGTGGATTTGCACCATTTTTATTCACTTTTGTTCTTTTAAGTAATTTCAGTGGAGTAGAGGAAACAGAGATAAACATATATTCAACCTGCCCTTTTTAAACTTGGAGTTTCCCACCGGTGTCCTATTTTTATAGTCTACCTTTTATCTGGAATCCTGGCAGTAGAAACTTGATTTTTGCTTTCTTGAATTTCTTTCCCTCTTGTCTTTTCTTTTCCCCACCTTTCTCCTGCTTCATTAAAAAAAAACAAACACCTCTAAGTAATGTGTTTTGTCATATGACATACATAAATATATCTGTATCTTTTATGGAAGTTTAGCTATTGAAATGCTAAAGCTATTTGTGGTTGGCAGAATTTCCGAAATGACAGTCCTAGTCCTGGGAGCCTACGAATATGATTACATAGCATTTCCATGAACACAGTATGTTATGTGGCACAGTTTGCCTTTAAATAGAATACCTAGGATTATCAAGGTGGGGCCGTTTTAACACAGGAGACCTGAAGGGAGGAGAGTTTTCTCCTGCTGTAGCAGAATAAGGCAGAAGAGGAAAGCAAAAAGATTCGAAGTGTGAGAAGGAATTGAAGTGTCACTGCTTTTAGGATGGAAAGCACCACACAAGAAAAAAAAAAAATCAGACCGACTTTATAAGTAGAAAGTGGACCTTGGCCGATGGCCGGCAAGGAAACAGGGACCTCTATTCCATGGCTACAAGGAAATGAATTCTGTGAACAATAGAATGAGTTTGGAAATGGATTCTTAGGCAGAGATCCGAGCCAAGCCTGTCTGAACTCTTGACCCACAACCTGAAGATCATAAATTTGTGATATTTTAAACCACAAAAATGTATGGAGTTTTGTTACACAGCCATTGAGAACTAATATGCTATCTCACATAAAGCTCTTTGTTTATGATATTGCCATGAACCTTGGGTCCTGAAATCAGCTACAGGGATGGTGAACATGGTTCCGTGGCTGTGTTTATCTGTGTGTTTTTGTATCCATCACATTAGTAGCTTTTTAAGTTTTCTCATTCTGTAAAAGAAGTCCTTTATCAAGCTGACTTGAATAGATAAGAAAACTAGTAGAGGCAGTTGGTGACAGGAGTCTATTGATGACACTCAGGCTCATTTAGCATCTTCTCCTGTGCAACCTCTCCCTGCCCCCTGGGCACCTGCTTTCTGGGAAACAGCTGTTTGGAGTATGCAAGGACAGAATCTTCCTGTCATGGGAGGATGTTCTCGAGACTGGCAGAATGTTCATCCTGGAAAGGATACCCGCATTGCCAGTCAGTGTCTTTCCTCCCTCCTGGCAAAACCACAGCTTTGCCATTAAGGAATGTTTCTGCACCGTTTCTTCTCTTTACTGCAATACAAATTCACTGCTTTGTTGAGTGAGGTGGGTGGCAAAATTATCATAATGGTATTTTATATATGTGGCTTTGTGGGGAAATGAGATGCTCTGTATAAGTAAACTTTTCATTTAATTAAAAATTGTTTTTTATCACTACATTTTTAAAAAGACTTCATCTCTTGAACAGAAAAGAATACATATATTATCC